AGCTGAGAATCTGGCTCTTGTTTGTCAAGAGTTTAAATAATACAGCGTCAGCCACCCTTCAGGACTTTGTATTCTCTCTGACCCTGGAATTTGCAGTCTAGGAAGCTGAACTGGCTGTCCATGGAAGTGGTAAGTGCCAAGGAATGGGTGCTCAGAGACTTCTCTGCAGAGCAGCTGCTTTGCAGAAGGGCTTTTGCCCTTTGTGCTACCCAAAAGCACATTTTGGGTGTTGTTCCCTAAGAGGCATAAGCTACCGTCCTTCTCTGCATCTCTGCTCCCTCTCACTTGTCCTGTGGTGAAGAGGGATGCTGCTGATAGCAGCTTTGCTGTAAGAAATGATAGCTGTGCTTGACATCCTACAGCTATAGGAGCAGAACTGTGCCTGGCACTGGGGCTGGCCCTGTGCCCTTAGCAGAACAGCTTCTGCAAGGCCACAGCCAGAGCTCCTTGGAAATATGGATTCTACAGGTATGTTCCCTGAGGCTCCACTCAGTCTTGAACCTCTCGTAGAGCCTCAGCAAAGCTGGCTGAGGGAGAGGTCTCCAAGCTATTTAATTCCTGCAAATGTGTGGAAAAATACGGAGCCAAAGAAGAAAGGAGGCAAAAGTCATACACACTCAGCTCATTGTAACCAAGAGACCTAGAGGCCACATACATGTCTAATCACAAAGGAATGAAGAAGAAAACTTTTTATTATAGTTTTTACTCCTGTTCATAAAATATCTGCTTAAGCAGTTTTAAAAAGCACTGAGGTGCAACTGAACATGTAATATATCAGATAAAAGTAGTTAGGTTTTTTCCTGCTCTTGAAATTTTTCTGAACAGATCAGAGTGTGGTTCTATGCTGGCTTTAGGTTTGTAAATATTTTGTGAACGCTTTTTGTCCTATTTTTTCAATCCCACTGGGAAGTAATTTGATGCAAGTATCCCACACTGAGCAACACAGACTCACCACCACTGGGCAGATGGGTTATGTGTTTGGATGAGCGAGAAGGCAAGTGCATCTGGCTCAAATGTCACCTCTGAATTTCAAAATCCTTTTCCACTAACATCATTCATATATGAGACTTGGAAATACATTTTGAGCAATTTAATGTTATTCTGATTTGTATTAGAGTTGTGTGGAGTGATCCCAGAGAAGACAGGGCCCAATGTGCTTAATTAATTAAGGTGTAGACCTTGATAGATGCAATCTATTTGAGTTTAAAACTGAGACAGGTAAGAGAAAAGGAGGAAATTGAAGCACAAAGGGTAAAAGGACTTGGTCAAGGTCACATCTGTGTAAGTAAAACTTGATCACCCGACTGCTCTTGACAAGTAAATATGAAAGGAGAGCAGTCGGCCAAAGTAAATTCACTTTAAAACCTGAATGAAAATAATCAATAGTATTCACCCACTGTGTCCCAGATGCCTGAATCAATTTGATAACAAACAGTTTGTTCCCTTTTCTTAGTTATTTGTAAAGAAGTAGCTTGATTGCCAGTGTGCCTAATTCCAGACATATGCGAATTCCCTAATGGTAATGGAGCTGCACTACTGCATGCCAAGACTGAGGCAGATACTCAGCTCTTTCCTGCTAGATTTCTCCCAGAAGATCTGCAGTCAAATCCCTGTTTAACGACTATCAGAGGAACATATGTGCTGCTTCATGGATCCACTTTCCATCCAGTGTAAACACATAACAGTAGCTCGGCTCCCGCGCCGCGGTCGCGGCCCTGTTGGTAACCATGCACTCGCGAGTGACTGAACGAGCCCAGGGCCTCTGGGGTGCCTGCTGGGAGCCACTCCTGCCCTGGCACCTGGCACTTCTCCTGCCAGAGCACTCTGCACCCAGTCCCTCGCTTCCAGCAGCTGGTTCCGTTAGCCAGAGCCTGCTGGGACAGGCTGCAAGAGGGCTGAGCTCAGTGGGAGCTCTCTGGGTGCAGAGAACAGCTTCCCAAGGAAAATGTCTGGGCACACAGAACAGCTTCC